GGAAAACCAGTTTTTCAGAAGACTGGATTTTCGAAGAGCTATGTGGAAGTCCCATGATCCTATTCGGAATCAGCATGGTCGATAACCTATAACCCACTAGATGTCGATCAAAAAGCGATTTATCACCTCGGGAGGTTCCCTCGTGAGACCGCAATCGGAGGCATTGAGTTCTAATATAAATTTTGGTTCGAAATAGAAACTCTCACACAAGAGATTTGATTGCTCTCTATTTTAAAAAAGTTGGAGAGCTTTCATAGGGTCAATAATCGAAGTTAGGTAATTGCTCTTTTTTTATGGTTGTAAAAGGAGTGGCTCAGTGGTCATGGCATAACCTTTGATAAATCTATGATAATAGTCGATGAGCTCACGAACAATTGTAATGCATTGATTTTTGGCATAGTGAATATTGGCATAGTGAATATTTGGCATAGAAATATTGTTGAACGTCATAAACCGGCCAAATTTAACTCCCTCTTGCATAATCAGATGCTTAAAATATTTCGTTTCGCCACTACTAGCAACTCTTTTGTCATATATCACATTTTTAAATATTAAGTTATCCACTGTGGTTGCCGAAGCTACCTGTTTAGTGATGTTAAGCTTCTTACCATAACAATGATTTTTCAAAAAAACGAATAGACTAGACAAGTTAAGAATGAAACAATGGTCCAGAAAACTTCTTTTTGATCGTGATTCTTCCCACTGGATTAAACGAAGAGATGCTCCTGTTACATTAAATGAATGATTGCACAAGAACTCAGACGCAAAGCTGTGAAAACAGGAGGACAGTACATAGTCATTAATATACGAGTATAATGAATTTTTTTTCTGGGTGTTCCACAGCATTTTCGATTAGATGGGGAAATTCTCCCATCTTGTTTGAAAAAAATTACTCCGTTAATTTTAAAAAAAATTTACTCCTATTAAAACAAAAATTACTCCGAAAGTTAGAAGCCTTTTTGATTATCAGGTAATTTTTTAGAGTGACTGCATAAAACCTTCCCCATCTTGCCAAAGCTATATCGAAAACGCTGATACTCCAGTAAAATGTAAATCACTCAGCATTAGATTAATTTTGAAATGTAGGTACCAAATTAAGGCATACAATATGGGTTATAATAATCACCATCGACTTTCCCTTAGACAAGTTCCCTGGCAGAGAAAATCAAAAAAAGTGACCATCACGAAATTTCACCTTTTTTTGCTCCACTTTGGTGGTTTATATTTTTTATTGTAACAGTTCTATTACAATAAAAAATATAAACCACCAAAGTGGAGCAAAAAAAGGTGAAATTTCGTGATGCTCATCTATGTGCAAATTCGTCCCTAGTAAGTAGTGACTACTTACTAGGGACGAATTTGCACATAGATAGATAGTTTGAGGTGTCCTCTATCTGATGCAGTCAAAATATGGGAATAAAATTGCTGACAAAATAAGAGTCAAAATCTTTTTTAGAAAATCAAAAGCACTTTGACATCACATCCAACTCGGAAAAAAATGAAGCATTTTGTAAAAGAATTGATTCTCTATCCGATGGTATATTCCAGAATATATTCCGAAAAAAATATCTAAGCCAGAAAATTGAAGTCAATATTTAAAAATTTTTAAATTAAATTTTCTTTATTAAAATTTAACATGATTTTGCTTCTGAGTTCAGATTCATAATCATCGCGAAAAATTGCGTTGAATAATGTATTTCTAACCTTTGTTCGAATGAAAACAAGAATTCAAACCTTTTGATCCGACGGATGACCGTTAGCTGATAACGCCTAATAACTACATTTTTATCGAAAATTTATCCTAATGACAACAGCTGAGAAATATCACTTTCGATTTTCGAGATCTATAGGTATATCTTTATTGCTATGCAGCACTGTACACTGATCACTTTACACTTTAAGTGTGCTTGAATTAATAATTCAAGCGTTTCTTTCGAAGATTATTCATGTGATTATTCAGAATTGTACTGCCAAAAGTCTTTTCATGCATTTATTTATATTGTGTAACATAAGACATGAATAGTAACATAATATACAATATATCATTCGGTTTGATTTCCAAGATGCCGAAACAAAATTAAGTTACCTCAGTATATAATGGAGCATGATCAGAAACTTCCTCAGGAAGAGCCTTAAAATCTGTTACTTCTAGTCCTGCTGTTACAAAAACATAATCAGCATATCTATCTGGTTTCATGTAATAAGAAGTTCGAGTGGAAGTAATGCCATATTCTTTGATCAAATTTCTTAAACCAACGGCTTCTAACATTTTAATGCTCTTTGTATCCGGTAAAAGATTGAAATCACCACAAAGAACGAAATTTTCTGAAATATTTTTTGTAATATGTAGAATATTTGTTGACTGTTGTATTCTATCCTCTGTATCAGTCTTCCCATTTCCATTCCAAAGACCATGAAAATTCATCACTGCTGTTTGTTTTCCATTAATTTCAGTTTTAATATATTGAATATTGCGAGCATGACAACGAATGTCATCATCAGGAACATATCCTTGATATTGGTGGACAAAATAAACACCTTCTTCTACGATTGTTATATTCTTCTTTACGAACATAGCAAGCCCGTAGAAATCCTTCAGACTTGGCCGGAAAAATCCCTGATGAGTAGGTAGTGCTTCTGTTATTAGTGTAAAAAGTCGATACTCTTTTTCCGGTACATTCGACTTTACCTCGTCTACATCATTTTCACCACCGTTAAAAATCTCTTGCAAGCAGAAGATATCAACATCTTGCCAATTTTTAAAGAAGTTTAGTAGTGCTGTAGTACCGCCTCTGCCATCCCACGCATTTAAAGTAATTATCTTCATAATAATCTAATGTAATATTTGATGCAGTTCGGCGACGAGATGGCTACCAACGTCTTGAAAAGTCCGAACTGTAATATAAAGAAAAATATTTGTTCTTCGTAAACTCAGTCATGCAAATGATTGAATCGATTCTGTTTACATCAAAAACTGGTAAAATATCTACCAGAAGCATCGAGAAGCATTTGGCAAGGTGAGAAAAGAAAAAGTGGTAAGTCACTCATTCTCTCCCCGAAAAAGAACATATCTTTTTGATGTACAGTATTAGAAAGATTTCAGCGTCAGCACGACACATCCAATTTTTTTTTAAACTTTATTATTTTTGTTGCCTTTGTTAACGATATAAAAGTATTACTACCAAAATAACTGACTCTGCTACCGTAAAGGTGATTTCGACACTATTCTCGTCATTTTGTTTACTCTGCATTTTTTCATCGACTGCGTGTGTAAATCTTCGCAACATCTTGTTTTAAAAGACCAGGCTTTGCTTGACAAAACAAGATGTCTATATATAAATCTAGCATACCAGTCAGGTGTACTTTGTATTAATAGGACGCATGGTTTAAATAGAAGAGGAGAGAAAAACAGTTTTTCATGTATATAGCGTGCAGTAATAGACTATACCAAAGATTTATGGAAGAAAAATAACGTGTTCTTTTGTCCTCTCTCTCCTTGTCATTTTCTCGTTAAGCAAATGTTGTTTTTTCTCCGTGTGTGCCCAGATTTTTATATATTAGGCCTCTAGCTTTCAAACAGAGACGTACATATACACGTGCGTATATATTTGAAATATATCTCTATTGGCATTTTTTTCATATTTGTCTTCACAGAAAAGAGAACAGTTATCTTCTCGCATTTGTTTTTTCAACTTACAATATGGCGGAACAGAAAGAGGATGAAACAGTCTGATATATTTAAAAATAAGTAGCATCCCCTAAAAAAAGTCGGTGCGCATAGCATGCTACCAGTCACTGGCACCGGTGCGCACCCGTATCCAGCAAGTGCCCACTGGCATCCGTGGGCACCAGTGCCGATATATTAAATGTGCTGCACTGAAACTTATTTAATCATTTTAATTAGTCTTTTATAATGAAAGTGGCTATGTACACTCAGGTACACATAGCCAACCGACTATATACACTCAAGTAGGTATAATCAATTAATTAGTAAATATTAAGTTATATTATAG